ATGGGTCTTTTATGACTGAGGGGGGGAGGTGTGAATGAGTCGAATATACAGTAAAACACATTCAGCATGTCAGCCAGTTGATGGTTCACTGCAGTGTTGGGGGATGGTTTCCTGTAGTTTGTGATGTTCTGCAGGCCTCTCCACACTGACGCTGGATCGTTGGCTGAAAGGCTGTTTTTGATCTTTTCAGCGTAGCTCCTAGCTGCTTTCACCCCGGTCGTCAGTGTGTTTCTGGCCTGGTTGTACAGGACTCTGTCCTCAGTTCTGTAGGCCTCCTCCTTGGCCTGACGGAGCTGCCTGAGTTTTGCAGTGAACCAGGGTTTGTTGTTGTTGTATGTGCGGAAGGTCTTGGTGGGCACTCACATGTCCTCACAAAAACTGATGTACGATGTCACGGTATCAGTCAGTTCATGCAGGTCTGAGGCTGCAGCCTCAAAAACACTCCAATCAGTGCAGTCAAAGCAGGCTTGTAATTCCACTTTGGCGTCGTAGGTCCATCTCCTAACCTTCTTGACCACAGACTTAGCAGATAGCTTCTGCCTGTAGGTCGGGATAAGATGAACCATGCAGTAATCAGAGAGTCCCAAGGCTGCACGGGGGACAGAGTGGTATGAGTCCTTTAAAACAGTGTAACACTGGTCCAGAGTGTTTGTGTCCCTGGTGGGACACTTAATGTGCTGTTTATATTTAGGCAGTTCATGGCTGAGCTTTACTCTGTTTAAATCCCCCAACACAATGAGCAGAGAGTCCGGGTGTTTTTCTCCACGTTGTTTATCTGGTCAGCCAGGTGTTGTAACGCCTCAGTTACAAAGGCCTGAGGAGGGATGTAGACTCCGACCAGAATAAACGAGGAAAACTCCCACGGTGAATAAAACGGTTTACAGTTAATTCACAGCACTTAATGACTCTTCACGACGGTTAATGACTCTTCTTAATGACTCACTATTAGCTACTATCCGCATATAGCTAATATTAAATAGGGAAGTACAGTTCTGTGTTGCTACCCTGCCCTACCCCCAACAAGTATGGTAAGCCATCAAGGACATTCTTGTGTGAGTTGTAGAAAGCTAGTCAGGATTACAGTAGAGGTTAAACCAGAAGTCTGTGTAGCTCAGCCAGTAGAGCATCAGTATTTCAACCAGGGGGTCCTGGGATCATGTCCCTGTTCACAACACTTCACAACACTTAATGACTCTTCACGACACTATCGACCTCACTGAAGGCACTTATTACATGTACCCTTCACAAACTGACCCACCAGAGTGTGACTGTCAAAACCTGCATGGCAAGCCATAATGGCAGCTAAATGGTCTGTAAATGGTTTGTATTTAAGTCTAGTCGGACCACGTATCTCTTCTCCTGCTCCCCGTTTACCGGCAGAGACTGAAAAGAGACCGACCTGTGACACGGACAGTCCAGCGCTGGACCGAGCAGTCAGACTCTGCTCTCCAACACTGCTTCAGCACCACGGAGTGGTGTGTGTTTGAGGAGGAGGACATAAACACACACAGACACGGTCATTTGCTACATCAGCAAATGCATCAATGATGTCGTGCCGCGGATTACTGTACGAATATTCCCAAATCAGAAGCCCTGGATAAATGGCGAGGTCCGAGCCAAACTCAAAGCTCAGTCTGTCGCGCACAGCGCAGGTGATTTGGATGAATACAGGAACTCCAGGTATGCGCTCCGGAGAGCTATTAGCAGTGCTAAAAGACATTATAAGAACAAAGTGGAGTCTGACTACAAGGGCTCCAACGCTAGAAACATGTGGTCTGGACTAAAAACTTTAACAGACTATAAAAGAACAACAAGTGGTGCCGAGGAAGTGTGTGCATCTCTCCCAGATGAACTGAACACATTTTATGCACGCTTTGAGAGACCCCCGGCTGTGGAGGTACAGAAGGCTCAGGAACCCTGCCCCTGCCCTCTGGTTTTAACCAGTGCAATGTGTGCAGATCCCTAAAAAAGATCAACACACATAGGGCTCCTGGGCCTGACGGCATCCCTGGCMGTGCTCTCAAGGTGTGTGCAGTTCAGCTGGCAGAGGTGTTCACAGACATCTTCAACAAGTCACTGCTCCAGTCTATAGTCCCCACTTGTTTCAAAGAGTCCACCATCATTCCAGTCCCTAAAAAGACAAAGACCATCTGCCTAAACGACTACCGCCCAGTTGCACTCACCCCCATCATCTTGAAGTGCTTTGAGCGGTTAGTTAAACAGTTCATCACCTCCTCCCTCCCCGACTCACTGGACCCCCTGCAGTTTGCTTACAGGGAGAACAGGTCCACAGCCGAYGCCATCACCCTCACCCTCCACACTGCCCTCTCCCACCTGGACCAGAGGAACACGTATGTGAGGATGCTGTTCATTGACTACAGTTCAGCACTATTGTGCCCTCCAAGCTCGTCATCAAGCTCAGGGACCTCGGGCTCAACAGCGCCCTCTGTGACTGGATCCTGAACTTCCTGACGGGCAGACGCCAGGCAGTGCGGATGGGGAACATCACATCCTCCAGCCGGACCCTCAACAMCGGAGCCCCCCAGGGTTGCGTGCTCAGCCCTCTCCTCTACTCCCTGTTCACGCACGACTGTGTGGCCACATACAGCTCCCAACACCATCATCAAGTTTGCTGACGACACCACCGTCATCGGCCTGATCACAGATGGTGACGAGACGGCCTACAGAGAGGAAGTCAGAGCCCTGACATCTTGGTGCCAGTACAACAACCTCCATCTCAACGTCAGCAAAACCAAGGAGCTGATTGTGGATTATGGGAAGAAGCAGAGAGATGGACACGCCCCCATCGCCATCGATGGGACTCCTGTGGAGAGAGTCAGCAGCTTCAGGTTCCTCGGGGTTCACATCACTGAGGACCTGACATGGACCCATCACACCAGGGTTATCACAAAGACAGCTCGTCAGCGGCTCTTCTTCCTCCGCAGGCTGCGGAGGTTCAACATGGACTCCAGGATACTCTGCAACTTCTACAAATGCACCATCGAGAGTATCCTGACCGGCTGCATCACGGCCTGGTACAGCAGTTGCACCGCCCTCAACCGTAATACTCTACAGAGGGTGGTGAAAACTGCTCAGCACATCACCAGGATGGAGCTACCATCCATGGAGGACCTCTACACCCAGCAGGGTGTAGGAAGGGGGCTCACAGGATACTAAAAGACGGTAGCTGCAGCATCCGGACCAAGACCACAAGACTCAGGGACAGTTTTATCCCACAGGCTATAAGACTGTTGAACTCCTGAGCTCTGTGAAAGTCACTACATCTGTTTATAGCAACATATTCATTTACACATTATACCTCTGGGTGGCAAGGTGGATTTTTTACCAAAAGGCTCTGTCCTTTACGACCATCTCTGCCCTTCGCCTAGACTGTGATAGGATTATTCTACCCGAAATGAATCAGTAAATTCTACCTTAAAGATCGGTAAATGACAGCAGCACCCAGGTAGAACATTTGGCACTGGAGCAGCACTGTCTTTTTGGGAGTAACTTCTGCCCACATCTCAGATGCAGTCTGGATGATGAACTGAATGCTCAGTGTCTTCATTGCTGCTGCATTCACAATGTATTTTACAGGTTAGTAGTGGGTGAGAGTCACCTACATTAACTTCTTAAAGCTTAGTTTTATCAAGACAAGTGTTATTGAGACAGATTGATGTCATTTTGATTATTTCGATTGACTGTTAAAAACTTTGAAATGTGCTACAAAGTGAGGCAGGAGACACGTGCCACTAGGTGGGCAGTGTGGAGGTGGCTGGGAGAACACCTCCACCTGTACGAGAGGATCAATCAGTGCAGGTGAGAGCTGTTAGCTGATTGATCCTCAGCTTTAAAAGGCAGCAGCGGAGCTGCCACTGGAGGAACACACACAGAGAACTGAGACACGAGAGTCACAGACAGGTAGGATAGTTTTCCTCTTTTGTTAACAACCTGCACAGTGCTGGTACAGAGAAAAAAATCCCTGGACACAGTCTAGTTTTGCTGCAAGCCAAATTGTTAGCTTATAGATGAGTGATAAGAATAAAGTACGTCTATCTATCCATCTGTCAATCTATCTATCTATCTATCTATCTATCTAAAGCTAACCTTGTAGTACAGTATATTGCTACTCTGTGGGGATAACAAGGTAAATAAGTGGATATTGTCACCGAACTACCTAGAAGGCGGAAAAATTGCTGCTCTCCTTTCTTGGGTAGTGCTGATGTATTGCTACTTCAACATTAATAAAGCAAAAAAAACTACAATTACTTCTAGCCAACTGTTGCCCAACGCATCGAACAATTACCCAGAGAAAAGCGTTCAGTGACCGAGGTACTGTATGCACTCAAATCTGTTAACAGTTAAGCTAGGCTCTGGAGCAGCTGTTCATATGTAGGCTCCTGTTATAAAGGGGGGGATGCGGGTCACCTCCCACAATATATGCAGCATCAAGGCAAGCCAATAGGCTGGCATGGTGTTGAGGGCATGCAAGGGGTGTTTCATAACAAGACATGAAACAAATCCTAGCAAACAGAAGTGACTCTAGATTTAAATGAAAATGATCAGGCTAGTATGATAAAGTCACTCTCTCACTAAAGTGAAGAAAAAAAAGCCTGGGCTGGTCATAGAATAGTGATGATTGGTGTGTGCGGCACAAGTGATGTATCAGCTCAGTAGAGTAATGGTCACCGTTGATGCTTGTGGATGACTTGTCTTCAGTTCATGCATGTACAGTAGTACCTCCTGTGCAAATTTAGATGATGACCTGCCTCAAACAGCAATGCAACAGCATGTACTCATCCATGGAGCTAAAGGAATCCAAAGAACTTGAGTGATCCTACCCTTCACAAAGAAGGCCCTTCAGACAAGGAGGAAACACTCTGCCTGCTGTTTGCCTTTTCTTGTCCTGTCCTCAATTTATTCCTCCTGGCTCACCGTTTAAACTTGTCCATTTGCAACCTTTGTCGAGTGGTACTGTTCTGACATTCACTGAGCTTCACCTGTATCTTCTCAGCCCCTCTGGCTTTCTGCTCCTCCAGCTTGGCAATCTGCATATTGAACTGATTTAGCCCCTCGTGCCTACAAATGGGAGCAGTAATTCAGTATTAGTTGATTGATATAGTCACTGTGTCTACTAGGGCCATTATTGTTCTTCTTGAGTCTAACTTCTGAATTTCATACCAACATTACCAAGGTGAGCTCTGGTTCCACAAAATCACAGTCAACACAATGTTTAAAAATTAAAGGGCTAAGTAACAGAAGAATATAAGTGATTGCATCTTCTATATGAAACATACCTCTTGTGCTCCACACGCAGAGCTCTGGCAGCTATAACATCATATTTCTCCAACTCTTTGTCTCGTTCATCCAGGATGGCAAGGTTGAATTGGAAATCTTCCCTCAGTTGCAGGTAGAGTTCCCTGAGAAAATGCAAAATGCCAATTAATGGGCTATCACAAAAACAAAGACACAATTTAATGTAAGCGCAGAGTGTGTTTTGAAGCATGTGGTCTAAATGGACACCTGATGTTTTCATCATTATTATCATTTAATATTTTTACATCTATACTTAACAGAAGCACCACAACCATCCCAATTCTCAATCCCATATCAGTAGACTGTATCAGTGTCGCCCTAATGTCTGTGGTTATGAGATCCTTTGAGAGAGGTGTTGCCCTATCTGAACATCACCAGCATCATGCTGGACATCCTCTAGTCTGCCTTCCAAGAAAACAGGTTAGTGGATGATATAATCAACTTGAAATTGCACTTTATTCTGCACCACAAATTGCACTCAAAAGGCAAATAAATTCACTGTCTGAGGTCATTATAACCTTGACCTTTGACCACTAAAATCTAATCAAATCATACTTGGTGATTGTTTGTGTCAGATGTGATGAAATTTCCTTAATGCATTTATGATATATCACATTCACAAGAATATGAGGTCATGTGACTTTGATCTTGTGACTTCGGACAGTTAAATCGAATCAGTTCATCTTTGTACAGAATTTAAAGACATTCCCTAAAGCTGATCTTAAGATATTTGTGAGGCTGCTGTGACCTTGACTCTTGACTACCAAAATCTTCTTAGTCAGAACTGGTATGAAGGACCTGTAACTTTTAGCAGCTGTGGCTCAAGGGAAAGAGTGGTCGTTCTCCAGAGGGCCGGCGGTTCAGCCCCTGTCTTTCCCATTCTACATGCTGAAGTGTTCTTGTTCAAAATTGAGAACATACTGCACATAGATGCAGTTTTTGAATGTGAATGAATAGCAAAAACTGTGGTCATCAAGACTAAAAAAGTGCTATATACATACTATTCACCATTAATGATACTGTTGTTAATGAAATGTGAGCACAGTAGCACTGCTCTGAAACATAAAGAAGAATGATCCAACATAAAGATAGAGATGCTAAAAACATCTTTCTGAGATCTTGAAAAATCATTTTATGTCAATAGATATTACACTGTATGGTGTAACAGGTGTTGCTTTGTGGAAATATGTCAATTTAAGTGTTTAAATGTATAAAAGGTTTAAGTGAACTGGCAAGCCAGGATACATGGCTTATGTGATAAATCTGGAGTTTATTTCTCATAAATGTATTTTAAATATTAAGAGAAAATTACTAGAAACTTGCAGAATTCCACAAATTATTTTAAACCATTCACACGTTCCTCTTATGAGTGAATCTATTTGATTTAGTTCTTTGAATATTTAAACATACTCGACCAATGAAGCAGATTAAAATTTTGATTCTAATGGAAAATGGATCTGAAAGTGAAGCTAACTGTTGTCTACAATGCAGGGGGAGGCTATGAAAGTAAATGGTACCCGACTGGAACAAGTCCCTGACTGATCGCTATATTGGAGTTTTCCCTGGAGAGCATAAAGGTCACCTCAGAGTGACCACATGTTACATCTGCCCCTCGAACTGCTCCTACCACGCCCTCTACCTCTAATTCTGGGAATTGCTATCCGGCTACCACCCCCTGAGTGGTTCTTCCTGTGTGTGATTACCTAAAGGTGCACCGGAGTCAAAGCAGAGCCTTACCAGCTGCATCTCATCTGTCATCAAGCATCAAACATATACCAGCTAGTGTTGCTACGCTTCCTGCCATTTATTATAAATCATATAGAGAATTGAACCATTGCCTGACCTCATCCTGTTTTCCATTTCCCTTCCAGCTCCTCCTGTTCTGGGTCCGGTCCCTGCTCCTTGCCACCTCCCCTCGTAACTACCCTGCTATCCTGCAACCCTGCCTCACACCTCCTGCCTGGGACAAACTTCTGGACCTTCCACCCTTACCCCCATCACTCAAGCCTCAGCCTGAAGTTCAGCCTGGCAATAAAATACCTTTCCCTACTCCTCTGTCCTTGTCTGTGTCTGCCCCTGGATTCACCGTCCAACCGTTACACTTAACACCACAAATGTAAAACAAATCTGCCATCTTTTGAATGACGTCATTTTCGTCCAGTGAAATAAGAATCTCCTTCTCTGTTGCCACAACCAAATCAGTAAAAATACGATATTTCCAAGGGCTTTTACTTTACTAAATTCTACATCGAGTTGTCTTTCATTGTATTTGGGTGACAATCTGAGGTGGCAAACTGTCATTGTGAAACCAGTAGTTTATTTTTAATATCGATCTGAATTTAGAGGGCATTATCTTAATTCTCTCCCTCTGTTCCACTTTTTCTTTTCTTCTGACCATGACCTTCCATTTCGCCATAACAACTTGTTATAATACTGTCAGAAGCGGGAGCACGTCTGAAGGCCTCCCACAAAGCAAGAGCTGCCTTCTATCACTCAGAGAGTCACATGTGCTTTGAACCTAGTATTCCTCCATCCCTGAATAGCAATGTCTTTATAAGCTTCTTCAATGATAAAATATGTAATAATTAGAAATAAAATCTACCATCTCTTGCCCTCAATTGATGCTAATACATCAACAAGCACAGAAATCTCAGGAAAAGCTGAGACTCCTGATAATTATTAAGACAGCTTCTCTCCAATCACCCTTGAACAGCTGACTTCAATTATGCCATTGATTAAACCCATAAGTTGTAGCTTAGATCCCATTCCTACAAGGTTGCTCTCCACAGGAGAGGAGTAGGCTTAAAACCTTCCTTTTTGATAAAGCTTATAGTTAGTTCAGGTCTGTCTTACACCAGGTCTTAGTTATGCTGTTATAGGCCTAGATTGTCAGGGGAAACACATAACACCTGGAGCTTCTCTTTCATATTGTTGCTCTTTATCATATTGATGTCTAATCAATACGTATTACTTATAATTTATTTCATAATTTGATTATAATTACTTCTTCTTCCGTGTCCTTGTGCTATATCATTTGCAGAACCAGGATCGCTGCTGCGGCCACATCATGGATCATGATGCTGGATCATAGATTATGATCATGGACCATAGATGGTGAATTGCAAATCAGAGATCGTGATGGCGGCTCATGGATCATGATTGTGTTGGCAGCTTGTCATAAAGAGTGGTGGTGGATCATGATCGCAGTGGTAGCTGATTGTGGATCATGATGGTGGCATCTGATTATGGTGGTGGATCCTGATCATGGTGCAGCTGATCGTGGTGATGGATCATGATCCTGGTGGTGGATCAGTGGCTGCTTGATCTTACATACCATTACTTGTAATAATTTGTCATTGCTGCTTCCTTCATCTCTATCAGGCATTTTCTTATGTATAAATACTTTAAACATAGGCAGACTTTCTTCAGATCAGTGTTGTAAATACTGTTATTTTGTTGATGCGTTCAGTTACACACAACATCTTTTGCACTTCTGTCTATCCTGGGAGAGGGATTCCTCACACGTGGCACTCTGAGGTTTCTACGTTCTTTTTCCCCAGTTAAAATGGTTCTTTAATAGTTTTTCCTTACTCTTGTTGAGTATTAAGGGCAGAGGATGTTGCACTTTGTTAAGCTCTATGAAACAAATTGTGATTTGTGAATATGGGCTATACAAATAATATTTGATTGATTGAAGGTTGTCAGTTCCTGTAGAGGTGGCAACCTAAAAACCCATAAGGAAAGTCATCAGGATGAAGAAGAAGGTCTTCTGGGCTCTTTTGGCCAAGAAGTTTCCCGGGGCAGCAGACAAGTATAAAGAGGCCAAAGGGGCAGAAGCAAAGATTTGTGTGTAGGAGAAGTTTGGTGAGGCTGTGGAGGAGGAACTTCGGTTGGAGTTGAGGAAGTTCTTAAGTGGCGGAAAGAGCACTTTGAAGAACTGCTAAACCCACCCTACACATCCTCTGTGGATGAGGGAGAGTGGAAGAGATAGAGTCTGAGGACTTGGGAAAGGCCTAGCCAATATCCCTGGCAGACATGACACTCCTCTTCAGTGTCGCATTGAGGTCAGGATGAGTAAATGCGGTGGCTCCTTTTTTCAAAAAGTGGGAGCAGAGGGTGTGCTTAAACTATGGGGGTTCATAGCCACAGCTTCCCCAGTTTCCACTGTACTTCCTGCCAAGGAGGCTCCAGTCGATTGTTGAACCTATATGAGGATATATGAGGAGGCAATTGCAATTGCCAAACAGGAAGTGACTTACAGTATCTGGGACATGAGATCACAGCAGAGGGCTGTCACTAAGAAACAAATGATGAATTTCTAGGGGATTATGTCATACTGCCGACCAGTGTTGTGCATGCTGTTCATTGAACACGTTTACATAACATAACATGTTCACTTCCACACACACGGTCCACACACACAGTGAGAGGTCAGAGCTCTTTCTCATGAAGCAGCCGGTAAGTGACTTTGTTGAAGAGCAGTGGAAACAGTAAAAAACTGAGTTTCTCTGGTCCGCATCTGCTCAATGATCAGAGCAGAAGCTGCAGTTGGTTTGTACCAAGCTGGAGTTTCTGTGTTCTCCTCCACTCTCCTGCTGAACTGCTCTCACTTTAACTAATAACACCAACACTCATCACAAGTTATAAGGATCTGATTAGTACATGAAGTTTAGTTAGTGTTTTTTTGATTTGCTCTAGAGTTTATGAGGCTGCATTTAAACATCATGAAAAATGACTCGTCAACATTTTGTGCACGCTCAGTGCAAGAGATGTGACGCACAGTCAGGACTCAGTGTTAAAATGACTGCAGTGATACACAGACATGATCTGACCCCATCGATTAATAACTAATTACATGGTAAGTTTGTCACCTAAATCATCCATATAATAAGGGAACAAAGTATTGTGAACAAATTCATTTTTAGAACCGTGAACTATGAACATGAACTAGTTCATTTTCATCTGCATGAACTGAACTTTGAACTAGTTCATAAAGTGTGAACTGGCACAACACTGCTGTCGACAGTGGATTCCAAATTACTCAGAAAGAGAAGCTTCTCTCTCAACCATGGTCCATGGTTAATCTCCTGAGCACTCATGACAG